GTTTTAGGCAGGCGTGGCTGACTCTTAACTTTTATAAAGAATATCTCTTTGGATTTGAGACTTTAGTCTTGGCAACTTTACAGATCTTCTTTATGCACCAAGAGCTTGTAACACTCCAAAGAGAAAGGAATACTTGAAATCGCATCATATGACCCCTTTAAGAAAATGGCAAAACCACATTTTGTGTGACCTGTTTTTATAAACTGTTGTTCTACAGTAGTAAGCTTGGTTTGCAGTAATAAGTCACAATTTGCAACAGAGAAGTGCAGAGCAGGAATTCATCATGCATTCTCACTTGAACAAAGTCGAAACAAAGCCACCGCTGTGCTCTCTCATCTGTTCACTGTCAGCTCGGTATCCATCAGCCAGGAGGAAACCTCATCCCCGCTGATTGAGCCGCATTGAGATTCTGCCAGTCAGTATAAGAGTCTGATTTTAAATTGGGCTTTTTCAGTTCATCTGACTGGTGCTTTGTTCCCTCTAATAACGCACTAATATGAGATTGAAACCACAGAGCTTTAGTTGCAAGGCTCCAGATGCTGTTAATGGCTGGTAATATACTTAAGCTTCATAGCTGCTTAGAACTGTGTCATATAGCCTTCATTTAGCATATAAACATATGAGGCATGTCTTATGTATAAATGTGTGACTCATTGCAAGTTATCGCAAACACTTGATTGCAGTTGTTGCTGCTAAGGGTGGCCCAACCAGTTATTAGGTTTAGGCGGCAACCACTTTTCACACGGGGCCATGTAGTTTTGGATTTTGTTTTCCCTTAATAATAAAAACCTTCATTTAAAAACTGCATGTTGTGTTCACTTATGTTATCTTTTACTAATATTTCAATTTGTGACGATCTGAAACATTAAAGTGTGACAAACATGCAAAAAATAAGAAATCAGGAAGGGGGCCAACACTTTTTCACACCCCTGTGTGTGTGTATATATATATATATATATATATATGTGTGTGTGTGTAAAATATCCTGTCTTATGTTCAAGAGAAGAAAGCATACAGGTTTAGAACAACTTGTGGGTGAGTAAATGATGAATTTTCATTTTTGGGTGAACTATCCATTTAAATTTCTACCCAGAGTCGTGCTGCGTGCCAATTTGCCTATTTATACAGTACACCCTAAAAGTATGTACTCTTTTTGAGAAGAAAAAGAAGATACTTTTAAGTGTGTAGCAGAAGAGTAGCTTTGAGACATAATAACGCATGTGCTCTGTCACATAGTTACGCACATTCTGTCATAATAAATGGCCTGTCAATCATCAACGTTTTTATTAATCATTTATTAGGATGTATTCCTAGATTTTGGTGGTAGAATTAAAATGCTTTAAAAGGGAAGTTAAATACATTGTGCATTAAAACTCCACACTCTGTAAACTGTATAATAATTCGAATTCAAATATAAATGTAAGCTCAAACCCTCCCTAGTGTTGGGCTGTGAAGTCTTTGAACATTTTAACTTGAGGACTTCTGAGCCTTTTCTGTGAAAGTAGGTCAAGTAGCAGGTTTGGTGAGTGTGTGTTTGGTATGAGAGAGTGTTTGTGGATGTGCAGAGTTGAGCTTTGGGCTGTCAGATTCATTTAATTGGTTTGGTTTGTGTAAAAAATGAAATGATTCTGTGAAGCATTTGTTACATTTACAAAACAATATAATATTTATTACAATAATTTTACAGAATCATTTAATATGTATTTAAATCCTGCTGTGCATAACTGTTTTAAAAATAAAGACTCCAAATAGTGGCTTTGCAATGCCATAGAAGAACCATTTTGGGGGAACAGTTATTTAAAGAACCATATTTTTCTTATTGTGAAGGAAATTTTAATCAGAATAACCCTTTTCCACTGAAGAACCTTTGTTTTTAAAATTGTGAAACGTTTTTGACTATAATTTTTATATTTAAAAAGTGTCAGCATAATTGGAGGATTTTTATTTTCTGTGTACCTGATAAAAACTGCGCTGCTTTGTGCTCCTTTAAATTGAGTAGCTTGTTGCTTGACAAGCTGCATTTTCAAAGTAGCTTACCTGACACTGGTTGTTTTCATTCTCAATTTCTGTCTACCTTCCTCTTGTAAATAATTGAGCTCCTGACTCTAAATGGTCGTGATGATCTGTTTCAGGGTATCTCTTGAAACGTATTCCAAATCTCTTTAAGCTGTCATACAGTGCTTCGTTACTGTGACCGGCAGACCTGACTATGATGTGACTTGTCACATGTGACTGACAAACCGTCATATCAGTCTGTGACAGTTAGTCATTGTCTCTGACAGCTCAACAGCGACTGTTTAAATTATTCCATAACATTTAGCATGAGCATGTCATTTTGGAATGGAGGTCAATCAGTTTTATTTTCTGTTTTAATGTAACTTTCATCTTTACTGAATAAATGTAATTTACACAATAAAATAGATTACACAAAATAATAAAGATTAGTGACAGTTTCTACAAAAGCAAGGTATGTTTTTTTTATTGATTTTGACATGCGTAAGGAAAGTATTTCATTTGTAAAAATGATTACAGACATTTTTAAAGCATAGAAAGATGATGAGACATCATTATGATAGTAAGGGAGCTGTAATGATTGACTACAGATGAACAAAACCATCAGATGCACAAAGTAGGTCAAGAAAATGGACCATGCCAAGAAGTATAAATGCGCAAAATATATTTTGTTTACCTAGGTCTGAGAGAAGTCAGCCTAGCAGAATGTCTTATAGATTTAGGTGATGGATTGGTTTTTGTTATCTGTTTATGAAAACAGTATTTATTGGGGTTTATTTAGGTAAAATATATAATTTGTAATAGGGCAAAATTTACACTGTGTAATAGTATAAAGGTAATTTGCCTTCTTGTTGAACAATAGTCTTTCTTCAGCATGGTATCTATTAAAGGGGTCATATGATGTTGCAAAAAAGAACATTATTTTGTGTATTTGGTGTAATGAAATGTTTATGCGGTTTAAGGTTAAAAAAACGATTTTTTTTCCCACATACTGTACATTATTGTTTCTCCTCTATGCCCCGCCTTTCTGAAACGCGTCGATTTTTACAAAGCTCATCGGTCTGAAAAGCTAGCTGTGCTCTGATTGGTCAGCTATCCAGTGCGTTGTGATTGGCCGAATACCTCAAGCGAGTCACCATACTGTGATGCCCTGTCCGGCCAGAGCGACGAGACAAAAACATTAAAACCCATTATAAACGAGGCATTTGTTGCATCCAGTGGGGACATAATTACGGATTATAATGACATATACTGTCTTTTTACACGTTGCATCGCATCGCGTAAACATAAAACCATGTCTGCATTTGTGATCGGAGAAATTACAAACAACAAGTGCTACTCTACACTGCCCAAAACTCGTATTTGAATCGTCAGTGGCAAATTCTTTAATGTAAAAAACGTACTTACAGACTGTGAGTCAGAACAGCCGCCATTGTAGTCTACTCTACCAGGATCAGGAAACAGTCCTCCATAAAATGTTCTGCACACATCTGAATATTTTGGTTGAACTGTTCTGAAACAGTGTTGTAAATACAACTGAACCACTGATTTCTAGTCGTGTCCTCTTTTGGAAGGCCAAACAAAGTAGTTTCGCTTTCACAACGAAACACAGCGTCACACACGGCGGGCTTGAGTGAGCGGCGGCGGGCAGGCTAGAGAACGGCGCGGCCGGTGGGCTTGTGGCAACCACATGTGATGACCCCGGACTGGACTTCGCTTCGTCCAAAGCGCGAAATTGATGTATTTCCTCAGCGACCAGCACGGATCAGCTCTAGGCATGACGAAGCAGATATCATCCTCTTTTGAATGGCCAAACAAAGTAGTTTCACTTTCACAATGAAACACACAGCGTCTCCATGACATGCCGGCAGCAACAATACTACAGCGAGAATAAAAGTTACGCCTTCTATCTTTGCGTGAACATTTGGGCGGCGTTATGCAAATCTTACCACATCGTGACGTAGACCTGTGGGGGCGTTAGAGTAGGCGTGGTTGACTCTTAACTTTTATAAAGAATATCTCTTTGGATTTGAGACTTTAGTCTTTGCAACTTTACAGATCTTCTTTATGCACCAAGAGCTTGTATCACTTCAAAGAGAAAGGAAAAATTGAAATCTCATCATATGACCCCTTTAAGATACATAATTTGCTATTTTAGACACTTTAGTAGTTTGTCTATTATTTATCTATTACAAAATCAGTTAATGCACCTGTTTTCCTGGAAAATATGTTTCTGTTGAAAACATTTGTCTGCCATTACCTCATGGAATGACCTCCTACAGTTGAAGTTCTGAAGTGTAGGAGCTGTTGTTGTTGCTAGGGAGGACTGAGCACGAGTGTGCTTTCTCACTGCGTGGAGAATTATCAGTGCGTTTATAATTCTATATGAAAGAATTTCATGATTGAATAAAATATTACTCCAAATCCCATTTGACTGATGCATTAGAATATATATTATACCATGGATTTTTTTTTAACCTGGAAAACCGTTTAAGAAATTGTGTTGTCATTTACATGGAGAAAATGCCAGTGTTTGTGTTTACCAAGGAATTAACAAAGTAGCAATGCTAAGGAAGATGTCAGTTTTCACAGATCACAGAATTGTGTGAAAGAAATGTGAAAGAAGAAAAGTGTAAAGGAATTGAAAAAAACTGTTCAATTGTCACACTTCATTTATCACCACATCAATTTTTCAATAACCAAATTTGCACCTTGCTTTATTAAGGATTATCTAATGCAATGTTTAACTTGAAAATTGAAATTGCTTAATTAACAGACTAATCAACCAAATTATTACACTCTATTCATTGATACCAACTTGCCCCTATTTATAGTACTATTTCTCTTTAAGGTGAACAAAAAGATTCTGCACAAAGAGAGGATTTGTGGATCTCAAAACATACTACCATCAAATCTTTTTGGTATAAAATTAGAATATTATTTCATTATATTCAGTACACTATTTCTTATTTGTATTTCTGTTACAGGTTTTATGTCAAGACATTTCTAAATCTGTTGTTGTTTACCCACCTTGACATGTTGAAGACAACTCCTGATGTCATCTTCTCAAAATCAGTATCTCACATAACAGTGTGAAAGATGCCAATACTTACTTTAGCTTTAAGTTTGAAAGCGGTGAGAGCTCCAGACCTCAAGGGAGGATCAACAAGACTCTACATGAAAGCTTGAGAACACATGAACCTTCAGGAAACATGAGTGTGAATGATGAACACACCAGACCCTTCGGGACCAGCATTAAAGATGGCTGTAAGGAAATCAGGAACAACAACAGACATACAGAAGATTCCCTAGATGGTGATGCCAATGCTAATGAAATCCAAAGAGGAGATGAAGGAACAACTTTGGAGGCAACTGAAACCCTGTCCTCTGTGGTATCTCACACTGAGGAACAGGTGAAGATGATTATCCAGGGCACAGATTCCCCATGTGATGACCCAGAGTTAGCTGAGTTTGAGATGCTGGAAAGTCAGGAACTAGTGGATGACGAAGAGAGCAGTATTCCTAAAGGAGATGTCAGGGGTGCTCTATCCACCAATATAATGCAGACTGAAGCAATGTCTCCGAAGGTAGAAGGTAAAAGGTTCTCCCAGTTAATTTCAAAGGAGCAAGCTACTGTTTGTCCTAAGTCCACTAGCAAAGAAATGGTGACCAGCATAGCAAGGACTGAGTTTAGCTCTGAAAATGATGTTTTTGTCTCTTGCCTCTCCACAATGTCTAGTCTTGGAGGAAGTCTTGCTAGTGCCCTGGACAATGCAGGTCGAACCCAAAGCTCTGATTCGTGGCATGCTCCCTCAGGGCCATACCGAACTCTCTCTGAGGACCTTACCCTTGCCTCACAGTCCTGTTTAACTATTTCAGATAAAAGCCGGAGCTCTGTACATACTGACGGCATGCATCATCAAGCAGGAAAAAGTACAATGCACATCTACAGTGTTGATCTCAATCTTAACTCTACCACATTGCCTGAGGAACCCCTTTTAGAAGCACAAGAAAACCAACCAGCTACAGACTTTGTAATATATGAGAGCTCAGGTCAACTGACAAATGGCATGAGTGATTGTAGCATTGCAAGTATCAAGAAGGTCCCTAATAAATCAGGAAGTACCAGTCAGGACAATCTAGGAGAATCTGGAGTTCATGTAAAGGAGTACCATGGAACCGAAGACAAGGCTCCAAATTTAAAAACAATATCAACTGAGAAGAAACATTGCCAACATCTTGTCTCAGAAAACACACAGTCTGCTTCACAGAACAGAAGGTTCTCTCATGATTCCGCTGCTGAATCTCATAAAATTGCTCTTAGAACCTCAAAACTAACCTCAAAGGATACACCTGTACACTCTGGTGGTTCTGAACCCCAACCATATAAGAAGCAATCTTCTTTTGAAAAGACCCGAAGTTCTAGTGCATCAAGTTTGGAAAGGCGAAGACCTTGGGGCAGCCCATCTCGCCCTGAGACCCCTCCATCCCCTAAGACCACCTGTTCCCCTCGGAAACAGCCTCCTTCATCACCAGCCAAACCTATTAGCACAAGAGAAGCAAGTCAGGAACTAAATGAAACCTTACAGAGGGGAACAACTGGTTTGAGGCAACCAAGTAAAAGTTTTCTCAGTAGTAGTAGCAGTCTCCCAAAACCTGCTGTTCCTCAACAACCCACTAGAGCTGAGTTTGAATCTAAGAAGTCTTCTCCACCTCAGAAGCCCAAAAATGTTCGACCAAAAATCATAACATATGTCCGCAAAAGCCCTCAAGCAAAACCAATGTCTGAAGGTCCCTATGAAGTATCGACGTTACCGCCAAGACTTACACCTTACAGTAGCTCACCAACCTCAAAAGAGTCTAAGGCCGAGGGGTCCAGAGGTTCACCTGTGCTGAGCTCCACTAATATCCTTTATGACAAGTATTGTCAGGAAGGACAGAGGTCAGGGCACTACTCCCCTCCAGGACTGATGGCGTCTGGGATCAGGCCACCTAGCCACACTGTCCCCCATAAACTGGTGGGCAAATCAGAGAGTTTCCACGGGGAACTGCCAGATCAATATGTACAGGTAGGACTTGTGTATTAAGAGATTCTCAGCTGCTAACACAGCACTACTGAACTCTAGTAGATGTGTTGTGCTTGTGAAAGCATGAGCAGTAAGCATAATTTATTAATACTCTCAACTGCTTTATTAAATTTGTAGTAACAAAGACATCAATGGATGCTTCTTACGGTTTCAGGGTGGTAGAGCGGTTCAGCTAAATACCTATGATGCTGCTGCTGCCGTTTTCCGCTTTCCGAGAGCCTTAAGGCCTCAGCTTGGCCATGGAGCTGTCACCAGACAGCCTGCTACTAAGAACAGGACTGTATTACCAGGTCAAAGGTCAGCGTCACCCCTCAGTTATACGGCTCCAGCTGTTCAGGCCCCAAGTAGTCACCAGGAACCTGCAGGTCAGTAAGGCACTAAAACCTTCAAAGTCAAGTTCCCAGTTGTCCGTTGACTTTCTTCAGAATGTGCCATGTTTAATTAAGCAGTATTGATTTGTATTAGACATTTTCTTAAAATGTAGCTCATGAAGCTAGACAAGAATCTAAATGATTATCTAAACAGCTCTATACTGCCAGTACCCAGAATCAGACTCATTTCTTAGCGTAATGGCCACACACAGACATTCCATTAGCTGAGGTTATGAACTGCAGTCATTTTGGTTCTAGAATTGTATTGATTCTTACAGATGCTCCATGATGGCAAGAAGACTGCGAAGATAACTTGTCAAATATTTACAGCTTTTACATGTTTTTAAATCACTTCGGCGAGTGAAAGTGTGACTTTGGGGAACCATGCTGGAACTTAATTATCTTACATTTAGATATAACTCTTTTAAATGTGATCTTACGTTTAGCCTCTCCTTATTCTTTTTTTGCCAGTCAGTTGTATTAAATATCACCATGTCCTGGAAAATTCAGAAATTAATAAATCAGCCATTCAGAATACTTAATCTCGCAAAAGGATCACTAAATTTGCCAGAATTGTGAAATGAAAATATCTACACCCTTTAAAACTCTACTTTTTACTGGTTGTTGATGAGCTGTAAACAAACTACATATATATCTATCCATAATGACAGGTATTTAAAAAAGTGCTCTCTTAGACCAATGCTCCTTTGCATACACCATATGTCGGCAAAGATTCACACTCCTAAGTTCTTTTGTGTCCGGAATTTAAGTTGCAAGAACTATTTAACATTTAAAAACATTTAAACATTTGTGTACCATTTCTTTTTCTTCTCCTTATATGGTATGGTACATTGTGTTAGTTCTGTCATGACAACTCTTGGAAAGTTTAGCATGGTAATATACATGGCAATGTTAATGTGTTTGGTCTTGGAGGAATAGATCTGCTACACTGCTATTGCAGTATAGCAAGTACCAAGATTTGCTACTGCTAATACATCCACAGACATGCTGCTGTGAGCATGTAAGAAATACTGCTGCTGCATATACAGTATAACGTACATAAAATTACCCCCGCATCTATAGCATACATGAAATTACCCCATAGCAGATCTATACAGGTGGAGCTGGGGAGGGTGGATGGTTTCTGAATCACACTGCAAACTGCTATATAGCCAACACTGGCTTAGTATTTGGCTGATGATGTAACTAAAACTAATCAGCCATGTGATTAAAGATGGGATTATATCAGATTGAGCTAGAACCTATCGGCCTGTGCCATCTAAAGTTTCATGACAGAATGTTGTATTATCATGATTTGATGTATTTATTGTATTTATTTTAATGGTTTGTAGAAAGTACTTCCAAGCCATGATTTCTATAAATAAACTTATGAGATTTGTTTGAGGGAATATTACGATTTGTCTTCTGCTTTACAGTGGATCAGAAGAGACTAGCATTGGGTGTGGCCCCCAAATTTATGCTCCCCAAACCGGGTCAATCTGGACTGCATCCTCCCGGCTTCTCCCATCTGCCTCCTGCTCGACTGGCCACCTTTGGCTTTGTCCGCAGTGCTAGCGTGTCTTCTGTGTCCAGCAACCAATCGAATGACAGCATACACAGTGACCCCTGCCGATCCATCCGTGAGTGTTACAATTCTTTCTGTCATAAAACTATTGTTGGCCACATGCAAAACACACAGATGTCACAGACTGGGACACCTGAGTTTAACAGTTCTGGGTTCAACAGATTTGTAGGCTTCTGCTAGTTGTATTGTTTATTGTACTGTTTGTACCCTTAAGCTCTTGTTAGAATGAATGTTTTGCATGACAGTCTAAATTCTCAAAAGTGTAGGAATTACCAAAGCGGCCCATTCTCAGACCACATGCTTTAGTACTCGTATTGTGTCAGGATTAGTTCAGGCCTTTTGGATTATCCAACTCTTCCTGTCATAAGCCTTCTGCTTGGTAGATACAACGTATAATCAATGTCTACAACACCCTGCTGGCTGCTCTGTGTCTGTGCAAGACGAGGCATCTCAAAACATAAGACAAATAGAGCAGTGTATTCCAGTCTTTTAAAATGGAATTTACTTAGTATCGAAATCCCAGTAAGTCTGAAATATCATCCATGATTAAAGCAGACATCATAATAGTCATTTTAAATTTCAGACCATCTGTCATAAGACATGTTATATTACTTATTGCAGAATTGCATTGAGTTCAATGGATTTTAAGTGTTTTTTTATGAAGCTGGTGGAATATAGAGACTGTGCGTGTTGTTTTATAATTGTATTTGCCTGTGCTGTGGTGAGCTGAGATATTTGAAACGATAAACATAAACAGTGTTGTTGTGAAGAAGAAGTGCAAGTGAAACATAAAAAGAGCATTACTGCAGAAATCTGCCTCTGTCTGGTGTCTATGCACCTATTATAGTCATAGGCAGGAAGCATTAATCTACAGATTTTTCTAGAAAACAAAAGTTGTGTTATGATTCTCCTGATTCTTTTCTGTTTTCATTTCACTAAATGACTAAATGAACAGATCTGATCGTTTTAACCAGACATTATCTACGTTATCTGGCAAACTGTGCTACTGCAACATATGATTGTATTGTAGTCATTCATTTAGATCAGATTCTTTACACGCATACAATAAATTATGTCAGATTTATTTATTTTTTTCATTTGTAAGACACAAAATGCTAGAGTGATTTCTTTTTTTTTTTTTTACTGTCAAAATGAGAAGTGCTCTTAAAGGAGGATTGAAAGCGAGATGAGAGACATGGTTAGGAAAAAAAGTCTTCATTCTTGCGATCAAAGGACATGTCAGTTGACAAAAAAAAGGAATTCCAGAGAAGCAGAAATAGAAATAAGATTTGATGTATGTATACATTGAAGTATGGTTTGTTAGGATGTATATTAGCAACGCATAGCAACACTTAGCAATGCATATTACTAATCAAAAATTAAGGTTTGATATATTTACGGTAGAAAATGTTCAAAATATCTTCATGGAACATGATCTTTACTTAATATCCTAATGATTTTTGGCATAAAAGAAAAATCGATAAATATATAGTTCAGTCATGAAACTCTAGATAATGCATTCTTACGGGGTGTTAACATAACTGCTGATATTCAGAGAGTTAAACGACTTGACACAAGCTGATTGGTTCATGCATATGCAGCCAATGAACTTACTGCATTGCATTTACAGGTGCATCTCAACAAATTAGAATGTCGTGGAAAAGTTAATTTATTTCAGTAATTCAACTAAAATTGTGAAACTCGTGTATTAAATAAATTAAATGCACACAGACTGAAGTAGTTTACGTCTTTGGTTCTTTTAATTGTGATGATTTTGGCTCACATTTAACAAAACCCCACCAATCCTCTATCTCAACAAATTAGAATACTTCATAAGACCAATCAAAAAAAATTTTTTTGTGAATTGTTGGCCTTCTGGAAAGTATGTTCATTTACTGTACATGTACTCAATACTTGGTAGGGGCTCCTTTTGCTTTAATTACTGCCTCAATTCGGCGTGGCATGGAGGTAATCAGTTTGTGGCACTGCTGAGGTGGTATGGAAGCCCAGGTTTCTTTGACAGTGGCCTTCAGCTCATCTGCATTTTTTTGGTCTCTTGTTTCTCATTTTCCTCTTGACAATACTCCATAGATTCTCTATGGGGTTCAGGTCTGGTGAGTTTGCTGGCCAGTCAAGCACACCAACACCATGGTCATTTAACCAACTTTTGGTGTTTGTGGCAGTGTGAGCAGGTGCCAAATCCTGCTGGAAAATGAAATCAGCATCTTCAAAAAGCTGGTCAGCAGAAGGAAGCATGAAGTGCTCCAAAATTTCTTGGTAAACGGGTGCAGTGACGTTGGTTTTCAAAAAACACAATGGACCAACACCAGCAGATGACATTGCACCCCAAATCATCACAGACTGTGGAAACTTAACACTGGACTTCAAGCAACTTGGGCTATGAGCTTCTCCACCCTTCCTCCAGACTATAGGCTTCATTCCTCCTTATTCAGTTTTACATTTTTCAGGGAACTACCATACTTTCCAAAACTTCTTGTTTTTCCCCTCACATTCACAATCAAGGTTTTGAGTGACTACCTCGGTACAGTTGGTTAAAAATACTTGCTGTGTATCATAAATTATTTTTAAAGGCTACACACAATTTTCTATGATATTAAAATAATGCTCTCAATATGGGGACATTTTCAATTCAATTCTCAAAGATTCAGTCTCCCTGCAGAATATCCAATTTGGACCCCAAGGGTTAGCTGTTTTAATGAGTGATCCTGTCATCTTCTTGTAGTAGCTGATAACAAAAATAGTCAAAATAAAATTATACCTCAGTGTGGATATTGTAGTCCTAATATATTTGCGAATTTTGAACAAAATAATATTATAATGCTAAAAAATGCGAAGAATAGAATGTTTAATTTTACCATCTTTTGCTTCGGTTAGATCATGTCATATGTCATATAATTTAAAAGAGATTATCAATATGTTTTCAGGTTTTGCAGAGTAAAAAACACACCTTATTTTTAAATTAACATCGGACATGACCTTTTGTAATATGAATGTGCGAAGCTTCCGGTGTCTTCCGCTTCCAGTATCTGTCATGCTGACTGATATTGCAAACTGATATTTGTTATCATATCAATTCAATTCATTATCAAAATCATAAAAATCCTGGTTTGTAGCTCAAGTAGATACCTTTTTACTGCACTTCTTCCAGTTATGTGCCTATAGCAGCTAATAAGTTGGAAATCCCACGTATTCACAGGAAGTAGCTTACTTTACATTCAAATTAGGGTAGATACCAACTGAAAATTACAAACTTAAAATGCATTTCAAAGTTTGGCTGGTTAGCATGATCCAGTTAGCCATTTGCAAAAAGTATTTTTTCTCTCTCTCTCTATTAATGACCATTTGAAAGACTTGAACAGCTAGACCCTACTTTTCATGAATTGGACATTGCTACTTATAATTGTAAGCATTTAATCGAAAATATGAGGCACACAACTTAACTGAATGTGTACAGTAAGTTTGTCCAGGAATTATAAGCCTCTTTAATATTTCTATTTAAACAAAAATTTGAGGCAGGGCATATAGAAGGGCCCATCCTTACATTCAAGGCTTGAGTGTCCTCTTATTCATTTATAGACTATTTCACTGCAGTCATTCCCTCAAGACTGCAGATAAATGCTGAGTCTAGCAAACCGTGTCACTAAACTGTTGAATGTAATGTATGTGTTCTCACAGTACAGAGACTGTGATTTTCTCTCTCTCTCTCTCTCTCTCTCTCTCTCTCTCTCTTTCTCGCTCAGGTTTATAGTTGAATTTTCTTGTACTATAAGTACAGTGTGTTAATAAACCACACCCTTGTTTAGCATCCCATTATTACATCAGCAGACGTCCCGACATGTCTGATGCTATAGTGGGGACACATTTGTCTCTCAGCTCGGACAGCTGAGGGGTCAACAGTGGCGCCTTTGCGTCCCAATTTTATGTCCCCTCTCAAAAACCCAAAGACTCCTGGCTTGTTATTTAAATCCAGAGACTTGTACATGCATGTTGCATTTTTGTTCGATGCCGTGCTCGGTAGATAAAACATAAAGGACAGCTGTCGACCCTACCCAAGTTAGAGTGTCCACAACTAGGCCTGAGTCACCACTTTCACTCTTATTTCCTCTCTGGGAAAGTGGAGGAGTTAAAGAGGAGTTGGGCTTCTACTATTTTGCAAAGGTTTTAAGTTAAAGTTTAGTCTTTAAGTCTTCCCATCATACAGTATAATTAATATTTAAGACTCGTTGGTTTGGAGCTTTTTGGCAACTCTGTGGCGTTTTAATATCAGATTGACTTTATGAAAGCAGATGATGTTTATTGTCATCTCAAGTCTGGATCCTAGATGTGTTTCCTCTACTAACGGACGAATTGGCTGCACAAATGTTTTCATTACTGGGGTATTTTGTACCACTTTTCACTTTTGTTTTAAAAAGGGATATTGAAAAGCAAGACCTGCACCCATGTAAGTGTTGTCTGTGATTTATTAATGTCACATACATTTTTAAAGATGTCCATCTGACTTAGTCATGGGCCATTTGACTGATTGGAATGAAATAAGCCACATTGTTAGTGATTATTAAAAGCTTTTATTAATATTTAAACAATTTTTATTTTAAAATATATTTAAAAATGTTGATTTTTAAGGTTGTCCCATGTCATGTTTAGCTCCCTATAGAATTTTTTTTATAATTTAAGTTTAAATTTAAGTGTGTAGAAAAAAAGTTATATTTGCAGTTTAAGGATAAGTCAACAATGTGTGCTGTTTCTCCATGTTTCTCCTGCACCAAGATCTACTTGTCCATTTAGATGCCTTGTATTCCTGCTCACAGAGATGGGTGGTGCCAAAATCAAAAGTGCATTATGGGTGTTACATTATTTATTTATTTTTGTCAAAAGGAAATGCCAGAGCTCCTTTTCTCTGTTGCTTGTTTTTATACTTTTTTTATTAACAGTATTGTACGGTGGCTGAGAGAGCTCAATGCGCTGGAAATGAAAAAACACATGCAAATTAAGAAAACATCTTCATCAATTTGACAACACACGCGCTGCAAATTCTCACAACACAAACACAGAAACGCGTTGCAAATTCTCACAAACAAATACAGAAACGCGCTGCAAATTCTCACAACACTAACAAATACAGAAACGCGCATGCAGCGTGTTTCTGTATTTGGTTGTGTTGTGAGAATTTGCAGCGCGTTTCTGTATTTGTGTTGTGTTGTGAGATTTTGCAGCGCATTTCTGTATTTGTGAGAATTTGCAGCGCGTTTCTGTATTTGTGTTGTGTTGTGAGAATTTGCAGCGCATTTCTGTATTTGTGAGAATTTGCAGCGCGTTTCTGTATTTGTGTTGTGTTGTGA